CCGAGGGCCAGGACTCGGCTCCGGCATTCCCACTGTCACCGTCAGGTTGGTTGCCTCCACTAGCTGTAAGAAAAGACTTGTTTGTGTTTCTCTCTCTCTCTCTCTCTCTCTCTCTACATATATATATATATATATATATATATATATATATATATATATATATATATATATATATATATATAAGTATATACAGACACATACATACACACATTAACATACATAAATACAAATTTATCTATCTATCTATCTATCTATCTATCTATCAGGCCAAGCCATACAGGGTCCAGCTCCACCAGCTAGTCCTCCGCCCGGGGACACGGGGACTTTTGGGGGTCTCATATCTATTTTCAACAATGAACCAGCAAATTAAGACCCCTTTTATTTACCCGCGCAAGACCATCTCACATCTCGCTTACATCTGATGGCAGCGGTGATCAAGAGCCTCACAACGCCGACGGTAATTCCCCTACCACCACGCTCCTCGCCGACGCCAGTTGCAGATCCACGCTATGCAAGCTACTCTTGTCGAAGTGCCTCCTCGCCTCTTTTAACGCCCAGCCATCGCTACCAACTCCTATTCTGACCTACGCCATGTCTGTCCTACTACTTCGTGCTGACCACTCACGCCTGTGCTCCCTTCTGACGAAGTCTCTGAAGATGTATCCTTGCACTCTGTGCCGCCACACTCGCCAATCCGGCTCACCTACCTCGCTAAGTCTTCGCGAACCCTCGTCAACACAGCTATGAAGTCGCAGTTCTACCTACCACTACCAATACTTCCTCGTTACCATTAAAAGTAAGCGTACCAATCAGTGCCAAATTAACTATTGCCCTCCCTATACCCACGCTCACCTTGTATACAAGTTACTTTCTTTCAAATTCAAGTACACGCCACTCAACGAACACACAATACTAACACTATACTGCATAACGTCTCGCTGTCAACCGTTCTTTATTTCACACTGAATTCAAACCTAAGTGACACACATCCTCACCTCACACCTCCTTCCCCAGCCCCAACCATTCCGTAAATGATGTATTGTGTTAGTATTATTCTATTTATTATTATTTTATCCTCAGATCGCACAGTCTAGTACATATTATTTCTCTCAGAACAAATGATTACCTTCGGGTTTATTTTATGATTGGTTGTTGTCATCATATTATTCATGGTTATTGTTTTCGAATTAATGAAATTTTCTATTCTTTATATGTTATGCCTATTAGCACTTACTTTAGTACTACTTGCATATTGTTATATTCTATGTATACACGTATATCGTTGTGTTTCTTTATAATACCACCACACTTGCCGTGATAATCGGCCGCTCATTCACACAGATTTAGATTATCCGACTAACCTCTAATCTACCTACCCGCCCACTCTACACGGATTTCACTCAAGGATTACGAATTTTACTAAGTGCCATTCCAATGACTTATAACTGAATCCAAAACGCTTTCATGACGTTCTCTCGCAGTTAGATATCCTGTCCTCAGTAATGCTGGTATATATGCTTCTTTAGTTTTAAGGTATTGGTGAATATGTAATATGTAGCTAACTGATGGTAGTCTCTTCTGTTGCAAAAATTTGTAACATTGGTGACGCACTACAAACACCGTACTTTATATAGGCTTACATAGTTATTATCACTGCAAGTTAATTTGAAGCCTGGCTCATTGAATCCTACGCCCGCAGTACACTTACGCTCATACGATTGAAGCGCCGAGACGCGCACTGTTAGAATTAAGTTCAGGCCCAGCTGCCTATATGTTCGAATCATATATACTTCTCTTGTCCTTGTCCAATTAAATTTTCTCTCTTCAGTATGATGGTACTCTACTGAACTCGCTAATTCTGACAATTCCAAGTGATTAACATCTTATTTGACACGTTACCTTTCTTGTGGCAAATGGTTCTTATTATGCTCTCATTTTTCTTGCAACTTAGTAAGGTGACTGATAAACATATTATCCTCCTCCTTAGCCCTTTTACTGGCCTGGTACACTTATATTTCAGCCTCTGAAGACGAATGACCCTCTTTGCTACTGAATATTACACCTCAGTGCGAAATCTCCGCCAGGCTCGCTACCCTGGCACGCGACAACCTTAGCGACGATCGGATCACCAACAACCATCTGTAGATACCGAACAGAATCTGTATCCCTAAACGCTACTACAGTGTTTTAAGCGTTGCAGACGGCTCAATCGATGTTAACAATACGTAGCAAGACCGGATGGTACACTTCACACCTCTATCCAGTAGCTCTCCTTCTCCTTGGGTGAACGCAGGTGTCACCCGGGTTTCTCTTTTCGCATGGGAATAAACATCCGCCCTCGAAGGGAACCGCCGCATAAAAGGACACATTCGTAAGACAGAGAGGGAGAGACACAGCAGACAGGCCAAGCCACACACGGTCCAGCTCCACCACCTCGTCCTCCATCCGGGGACACGGGGGTCTCATATCTTCAACAATAAAACAGCAAGCTAAGACCCTTTTCATTGACCCGTCCAAGACCATCTCACGTCTCGTTCACATCTGGTAGCTAGCGGTGGTCTCTCGCTTATAGTATGTATGGAGGTAGGTAAAAATGCATGTATATAGGTAGGTAAATAGAGAGATAGACAGAGACTGAGAGAGGTGAAAAGATAATTGGTCTTGAGTATATATATGTGTGTGTGTGTGTGTATGTAGATAAACAAATTGATAGATAGGCAGGTAGATATATAGTTATAGATAGACAGGTGGATAGATTGATAGTCACAGAGAGAAAGATAATTGGATAGACAGACAGATAGACTGACAGACAGATAGATAAATATGTAGACAGACAGACTGACAGACATACAGAAAGATAGATAGATAGAATGATAGCAAGGCAGACAGAGAGACTGGCAGATAAATAAACATAAATAAAAATTAGACAGACCGACAAATGCCTGGATACGAAAATAAACAGACTGACAGGCAGATAGGTAGATAGATAAATAGACAGAGATTAAATTATAATCTATTAAGACTTTTCGATGTAACAAGCAAAGTGAATGTCATGGTGAAAAATACTGAGTTAAAAGCTCGTTTAAACACTAATTGGTAATATGAGATAGAAGGGCAGAGTATGTTTAACGTTGGAGAGAGAGAGAGAGAGAGAGAGAGACAGAGAGAGAGAGAGAGAGAGAGAGAGACAGAGAGAGAGAGAGAGAGAGAGAGAGAGAGAGAGAGAGAGAGAGAGAGAGAGAGAGAGAGAGAGAGAGAGAGAGAGAGAGATATATATATATATATATATATATATATATATATATATATATATATATATATATATATAGAGAGAGAGAGAGAGAGAGAGAGAGAGAGAGAGACTGAAAGTGAGAGATAGTGATAGAGATATAGATAGATAGATAGATAGAAAGAGAGAGAGAGAGAGAGAGAGAGAGAGAGAGAGAGAGAGAGAGAGAGAGAGAGAGAGAGAGGAAAGATAGATAGATAGATAGATAGATAGATAGAGATAGTCAGATAGAGAGAGGATATATATATATATATATATATATATATATATATATATATATATATATATATATATATATAAAGAGAGAGAGAAAAAGAGGAAGAGCAGACAGCAAAATAACAGAGAATAGACCAAGGGATAGTGAGCAAAACAATGAAAGTGAGGGAATTTCCAGCAGTCATAGTTAATGTGAGCCCGTGATAAGCTGCGAACCAAAACGTGTATCAGACATGATTTACGAAAGAACAGAATCAAAGCCTGAATCTACCTTTATGAAGCGAAGGAACTGCACATCAAACAGATATTGCGGATTGTGTCTGACTGCACATGAATAATGGATACAATTAGATTTATATTAATAAAGGGTATTGTATTTCGATATGTAAAGGGCATTTCCCTGGTTTTGAGTTGAGGGAGAGAGAGAGAGTGTGAGGGAGAGTGAGAGAGGGAGAGAATGAGGCACACAGAGATACACCCACACCTGCGTGTATATCTATTAGTATATATTTGCACACACAAAAACACACACGCACACACACACAAACATACACACACACACACACACACACACACACACACACACACACACACACACACACACATACACACACACACACACACACACACACACACACACACACACACACACACACACACACACACACACACACACACACACACACACACACACACACACACACACACATACACGCGAGCGCGCATATGTTATATATATCAATTAATTATCAGTATACGGTAAATAATAATAAAAAATGAACACTTTGAGAACGAGAGAGAAATTAACAACCGCAAGCAGGAACAGAGAGAGAAAAAAAAATCGCCACGGTCCAGAAATGATAAATTAAGCGACTCAAAAACTGCCGCCACTATTCACATGATAAACTATTTGAGTCTAAGAGGCTGCTGAAAGAAAGAAAGAAAGAAAAAAAAAAACATTTAAGAGCTTTTAACGCAAATATATATATTTTTTTTGATGCCATATTTTTCTCTTGACAATTAGGGCGTTCATTTTCTATTCCGCTTAAGACCTGCGGAAAGAATTAGATACGTTTGATCTTTTATTAATTATATTTGGAAAAAGATCAGCGGGTTAAAAGGGAAAATAATGAGGTACGCGCACATACTTATATAAAAAAAATCTCTCTTGAACACCATCTTTCTATTCACGGCTCCTCACTCTCTGCCTTCTCCTCTGTTTTATCTTTATCTCCTGTTCTTACTCCTTCCCTCCTTCTTTTATTAATTTCCTTCTTGCTATATTTCTTTCTGTCTGTTTGTATGTTTGTCTGTTTGTTTATCTTTCAGTCTGTCTGTTTGTTTGTCTCTCTCTCTCTCTTTCTGTCTCTCTATATATTTTGATATATATGTATGTATATGTATATATATATATATATATATATATATATATATATATATATATATATATATATATATATATATATATATATATATATATGACTGTCGCGATGGACTAGTGGTTGGAGCACTGGACTCCGAC